TAGGACTACTCCTTATTAGGATTAAGGCTTACCTACTAAGTTCTATACTCTTTATTAAGTAGATTAATAGGTTAATTAATTATAGTCTAATCTATTATAGGAAAATCTGCTTAATCTAGCTCTCTGTAGTTAGTCTTTTCTTTATTAGAACTAATAATTTAATCCTGGTTAGTGTTTTCTTTATTAAAACTAATAATCTAATCTTTATTAGTAAGTATTATCTATTAGTAAATAAGCCCTCTAGATATAATATTCTCCTAATTAATAAGACTATCTTTATTACTATTTAATAATTTCTAATTAGTAGCTATGAGTGCCTTTAAGTCTCTAGTAGATTAATTATTATTTATATTTTTATACTTAGTAAAGTCTTCCTCTTAAAGTTTCTTTTTAATCTTATTATTATTAAGAGTTATATATTTCTTAAATAATTTTCTTAGCTACTTATTACTTCTTTTCTTAATAGTAATAGCACTAGTTATATTATAAGCTCCTCTATTAGTATAGAACTCTGCTATTATCCTAAGCTATTTTATTTTATCCTATTAACCTTACCTAAGTTATTATTTGCAGTCTCTTAATATATATCTAGGTTTCCTATACTAGAAATATAACTTATTATATTATTACTATTCTCTTTCCTCCTTAGAAAGTGCTAATTATATTATATCTAACTCTATTAGATATAGTCTATAAGGATCTATATATCCTTAGCTCTATAGCTAAGCTAGCCTCTTATTATTTAGTTAATAACTTATAGTATACCTACTACTAAAGATATTCTAATTATTTTATTCCTTCCTATATATATAAAAATCTTATAGTTTATTATTAATCTTAACTACTTACTTAATTATTCTGCTAAGCTTACTTAATTACTCTATCTAAATTAACTTTTCTTAGATATCTAGCTTTAAGCCTTCTTTAAATTATATAATATTTATATCTTTATCCTAGTTTAAGTAGGATATAATCTATTAGAATTATAATATATATTTCCCTATAGATCCTATCTATTTAAGCTACTATAGCTATCTCTTAGTATTATACTCTTTATTAATATTACTAAAAGTATTCTCTAACTATTTCTTAAATATATTATAATTAGTAAATATTTTATCTATTTTATTAGCCTAGTTATTATTAGTGTGTTCCTAATAATCCTTAATAAAAGATTTAAACTAATTAAATACTAGTCTAGTTAGATAAGTTATAGTAAATAAGACCTTATCTACTTTATAGATAAGTTTCTCTTAGTTTATCTAGATATATATATCTAACTATATAAGAAATGCTTATAGCTTGGATTAACTTCTATTAAATAGTTCTAGTAGTTTAATCTTAATAGACTTAGCTGTAAGTTAACCTTCTAATTAATAGATATACTCTTAGAGCTATTTAATCTAATTATATAGACCTTCTATTATAATCTAAGGTTATATAGCTACTTACTGCTATACTCTAGCCCTTTTAATATTTAAGCTAGTTAGGGTTTGAGGTATATTTCCTACTATAATATTTAATATTAAGAGTTAGTTAAACTTCCTAAAGTAATTTATACTATATAGTATTTAATTTATTATACCCTAGGATCTATCTCTGCTATTCTCTACTAGTTAACTACTTTAGGAATAGGGTGATATAGTCCCTAGACTATATCTAATACTTACCTAAGGCCTACCCTCTGTGGTAGCCTACTATATACTAACCTAGGTATATAGTGATATATAATATAATAATCTAACTAAGATCTAATATAATCTAAAGATATAATAATCCTACCCAGGATTAAGGATAATAAGAATAATAATAGTAGAGATAGAAGTAAGGCCTATTAAGGATATATCCTTAATAGTAAAAGAGTATCTAATAAATTAGATTAGTGAACTTATACTTAAGTAAGTTATTTATATTAAATATAAAGAATTAAACTAAGATCTCTAGATATAATAGTAAAGAGTATCCTTATATATCCAGGGTTCCTCTATTAATATATATAGTAGATAGTAGGTTAATATAATAGTAGATAGTTAAGATACTAATATACCTTCTACTTTATATACCTATATACCATATTATATGATAGGCTCTGACTAACTATTTAGTCTTTATCTTCCTAGCATATCTAATTATTTAAGAACCATTGAGTAATTAGATGTCTGTGTCCCATAATTCTGCCTGTTATATCTGCCCTAGGCTAGTGCAGCTGTGTTGGTGCCGTAACAATATACTATATTATAGTACTAATAAATATATATTTTATAACTATCTAGTATTAATATTAGTATAGTTACCTTAGAAAGATAATATTATTAATATCTATATAGCCCAGGACTTTAGTTAAGTCTAAGGGATATATAAGAAGGCCTAACTTATTAAAATAAAAGGATATTAAGCTTTATATAGTAAAGTATCTAGAAAATCTAGTATATTAGATACTTTTAATAAGGGTTATATACTAGCTTAATAAAAATAAAAGAAATAAGGGTGTAGTATAAGTCCTCTTTTTTATTCTTATATAATTTATTAATCCTTATAAGCCTAGTCTATACTTATACTAAAAGAAATAATAACCTTAGCCTATATATTATTTAGGACATCTTAGAATTTATCTTTTATAATAGTATATTTACTAGTAAGTATATTAAAGAGCTAAGGGATATTTAGTATTATATTTATATATTAGCCTACTAACTTAGCACCCCTATTTATTTTAAGGATAAAGTCTAAGAGATCCTAGTATTTTATTATATAGTAAAGAATATAGAAGACTAGTAGATTACTTATCTAAAAAGTGCCTTGCCTTATAAAAAGCTCTAGGAAGATAAAGTTATAATAAGTAGATTAGATAGATCTAAGGACCCTAGTTCTTTATATAAGTATTATAAAGAGGCTATAGTAAACCTTAGTAAGTTATTTATTAATAAAAAAAAAATTATATAGATATTGATAAAATACGATAAAAAAAATAACACTCAGATATATTCATGCAGATTCGGATTGGGTAGTCGCCCATAAGATCTACCTGTGACAATTATGCATTAGGAGGTTCTTGTATCCTGCACCATCCTGCCGGATATCCAACATAAGATATTGATGATTTTCTTTTTCAATACGCACGCCGACGTGGCAATACATGTAGGTTGTCATGCAATTCTAGCTAGTAAACAAGGTCAATTTTCTTTTCTTCCTCTGAGAAACGCAAAACGTATGTACTAGGGATTGGACAGGACAGGGTATGTCACTGCAATGCCCACATACAATGTAATTACTCCAGAAATAGCTTCTGGCGGTACAATAGTCTGCAGTGTCTACAGCTGAGCTATAAGTATAGGTCTATCCACCGGCCAAGCTTCAAAGTATCATATCATATCAAACGATTTTTAAAGTCAGGGCAACAGTGGCTGTCAAGTAATGGCTCAGTTTTACCTCAAATTCTCTAACAAGGGACGAGAGAGAGCCTTTATCCTTCTTGGGCCCGTTGCACTTATCGGGATTCTTGTTTTTGCGCTGTACCTGATCCTTCCCCGGACTCCACCTAGCCCGTCTCTCTCTCCCGACCAGGTTGTCAGACTCTGCTACCGGAACAAACTCGGTGTCCAGGTAGGGGTCATGGGAATGATGATTGCTGCAACGGTTTGGCCGCTATATTCCCTAGCAATCAATAACCAGCTGAACCGGATCCCCGGGGTGAGCCATTTAGCTTTGATGCTCCAGCAGGCCTGCGGCTCGACTGTCGGCCTCGCGATGATGCTAATTGCTATGATGTTTGCCGCACTGATGTTCAGACTAGAGCGAGATCCAGAGCTGACTGTACTGCTCTATGATCTTGCTTGGTTGGTCTTTTCAATGGCAACTCCGCCGTGGTTTGCCCAGGAGGTAGTAATTTCACAGATACTTCTGTCGGACGGGCGTCCAAAGCCCCTCATACCTCGATGGGTTGGGTGGATCTGTTATGGGACAACTTTTGTTATGCTTCCCGGACTGGGAGTTCATATGGTCCGGCATGGACCGCTCGCATGGAACGGTGGGCTTACGTTTTGGTTTATGTCTTTTGCCGGTTTCTCTCAACACATCCTTCTTATTATTTTCTTGTGGAGAGCAGCTGGAATCACTGATGATGTAAGAACAATATTTTCGGCTCCATTGTTGTTATAATATTACAGGAGTTGTTCATCGAAGCTAATGCTGCTACCTAGGGCCAGGGTGTCTCATCTGGTCTTGAACACGGAGTAGCCTCATCCAAGCTATGAAGGAGGCAAAGCTTGGTCGAAATAAAGGGACTGTGATGCTCCACACAAATAATATTGCTCGTTTGGTTAGTCTCCAAACGAAAATTCGGACAGGAACGAGGGTAGGCCATGTGGAAATCAGCAGGAACTGTCGTGCACAGCTTTTAAGATACAGTTGTTGTTTGGTTGGATTCATACGCTGACCCTTCACCATCAGTTGGAACTTGTATAAGTGTGTTAATTCATCAATCTTTCGAGGCAGGTAGAACTATTCATAGTTATAGTAAACTCTCTGTATGCTGCCCACCAGAGGTAGCAGCCTATTAGGCTGCCACTTCCCAATTACGGCCACATATCACGTGACCTAATATCCAGTTGATGGGAGGGAGAGCCTGTGAACTCCAACCGACCAACCAACCCCTGTACTATTAACTAGGATTTAAAAGTACCTATTGCAGCAGATAAATTGAAAATTGGGGAGAATATACTCATTCGAAGGTGTATTCTTTCCGGGTACGTATATAGTTATATCCTTTCCCTATTTTTCCCACCTGTCTCGGAGGATTTTAACGTGAACTGGCCTTGTGTTAGACTTGATAACATAGTCCGACCATTCCATGCTTGATGCGTCAGTGTCTGATAACATCATGTCGAAGCGGCAGAAGTAGTAGGCAATACAGAAATACATCTCTAGGTACGCAAGCCTGTGGGATAAGGTACAGGTCAGCTGTTATTTCCTTCACATCCGTAACCTTGTTTCAGGGTGACTTACGAGCTACCAATACACCGACGTGGTCCTTTGCTAAATGCAACGTTCCATTTTTCCAGGAGCTTTCCCTGCTCACCAAGCCATCTTTCCGGAAGGAAGGCGTCGGGTTCCGGGAATAATGCTGGATTGCCATGGATCAGGCTGGAGCTGACGGAGACGTACGACTACCATTATTAGAAACCTCCAACACCCTAGAAGAATTGGCTAAAACCTTACACCCCCAGGAATAAATTTGCCCTGGACAGTGGCCCCCTGGGGGGGAACTACTCGTGGTAGAATGCCAGGAACAACGCTGGATAGGCGCAGTGTTTCTTTTACGATAGCAGTCTAGCAATATCGCAATGTTAGGCAGCAACTCTGAAAACGACAAGCAGAAGGAAATTGTCCTTACCAAGTACGGGAGTCTCTGGATTTGATTCCAGTCAGGGCTTTTGATATATGGCATCGCCTCATCCAGCTCATCGCGAAGTCGTCCAAATTGTTTTGGAGAGGTGAGAAGAAAGTAAGTTCCATAAGCCAGTGACATGGTTGTTGTATCGCTGCCGCCAATAAGGAACCCAAATGCCTCATCAACCAGTCCGGATGTCTGGCTATCGTACGTCTCTTTCACTGCAGTTGATCTCAAAAGTTCGTCGAATATCGTCACGGGCCGATCTGGTTTCGGCAAGGTGTGATCCTCACTCATGTGTTCCTTTGTAATGAGATTGACGGAGTTTTCGCATTGCTTTGGCTATTGTTAACTTACCAGCTGGGCTATAACGGGTTTTGTATGTTGAGGTCAGCACGTACCTTTCTAAAATGAGCATATCCGGGCACAACTCTTTTAGATATCGCAAGTGGTAGCTTAAGAGAAATCTTCGCGAGGAATGGGAAATGCTTGACTGTTGTATCATATTAAAGGTTAGCTCTCCCATATCGATTGTTTGTACATAGGCCTGTTGTGGTTCAAGTCACACACATATCCAGACGTAAGATGTGACTGTGTCTAGGCTGCGTAGCAGCTCAGAGAGCCTCCCCTTTGCGTCAAATGCGTCTGGGCAATATCCAAACAACAGCTCACAAATTGTATCAACCTATCTCGTACTATTAGCACAGATCATGACTACAGAAGGAACGACTTTCGAATCCAAAGCAGCCGCTTACAGTGATGCAATGGTAAATATGTTGTATGTTAACAGGAGTTTGAGCCACCATATTAATCCTCAACATAGAGGCCGTTTGGATAATCTCCTCGCCTAGTCTTGGAGCAATATTCGCAATTGCTGCTGGGGAAAAGAATTTACTCACCGCTTTCTGTCGGATTCGGTGCTTTCTGGGATCAATCAAAGCGACAAGTGAATCCGACGACCCGAAAGTGTTATAGAAAAAGGCCGCCTTCAAGTATTTTGAATCAGGACTGAATACCCTATGTACATAGATCACAATGAGCACTTTAAACTTTTTTTGTTGCTGATTCAAGCGGCGGCCCATACATACACCTGATAGAATTCTGGGTCGTTTATATGCAAATGATTTGGACCGATGCGCACAATTGGCGAATCTTTTATTCAAGTCACTATCCAGGAGTCATGGAAAGCTTTCAAGGGATTCCAGTAACTTACTATATCTTCGATGGAGTCCTGGGTATACTTTGACAAATGTACCATTCTTGACGACATCGTAGTAGAATTCGTACCACCGTGTCAGGGCAGCCATTCGGGGCCCAGGAAACCGGCTGAGAGGATGAAAGGCCAGCCTCGACAGAGTAGTATACAAGAATACCAAAAGCACCGTGGATGCAACTGTGATCGAGACTTTGGTAGTTGTGTCATGTGGCCAAAAGTTTTCAACGATAGGATCACTCCTCGGGACAACATTCAGTGCAGAATTCGAGGCAGGAGACATTGTTGCGGGCAAGTGTGCACACAAGAGAAAGCGAGAGATAATACTATGCCATATAGAAACAAAGAGAGTTGCATAAGGTCAACGTGTGCTTCAATAAGTAATAACAACCCTGCATCGTATTGTAGGTAGTATCCGAATTCGATATGAGGCAACTAGAAGAGCCCACTCTTAAATATCTGTCTAGATCTCCTCAATCCCTATCAACGGGCAACAACTATCACTGCAAGTACCCATCGCCAACCAACACGTACGGAGAGTTGCTAAAAGATTGGATTGGACTGTGTTGGTAGGTCAACTGAACAGCTAAACACACTCCATGCACAGTTTTCTTGCAGAACTGTACTCTGTACATCTACTCCAGGTATATGTGTCTGATCACCAATCATTATACTCAGCCTGCAAGCATACGTGGCTGTGGGTCTCGAGCTGGAGATAGCAGTGTATCATATGATATGAGGTCTGTGATAACTCATGCACGAAAACAAGTATATGCAGTTGGGCTACCCAACTGAGGATAATTTAAATTCCAGCTGGAAAATGGATGCATATACGAGCTTGACACGTCAGGAAAGTATAGAACCCCCGCAGTGTGCGAATATTGACTGGTGATTTCTCGCATATCGCTGAACAGGGCCGACTGAAAAATGATAGAAATGAGGCCCTCAGGGGTCAGTGCACACCAAACTCTGATGATGGGAAGTGGTAATAAATTTTGTTTATCTCCATGAATACGGGATAAGCTCATTAGTTAGTGGCTGGACGATCTCTTTGCAGAGTGCAGGGTTAACGCGCTAGAATGTCGTGCCGCAACCGAGGTATTTGGGGACTATGATCAGGACCGAAAATAGAGCAATGATCTTCGCGATGTGTCATGTTGCTTGCTTCTTCATTGGTTTGTCTGAATAAGAAAAAGAAAGCAACAGAAATACCTTGGTAAATTACAATTCTCCTGTTTAACCTCCAGTAACAGCCTAGGAATTCATCGTCTGATCTCACCACTTGATATGACAAAAATTATGCCCTGTATTTAGCTTATATGGTCGAATGAGCATACTTGGATGCATTACAGCATTTAAGGGTCCTTGTATTTACATGGGGATAGTTCTTATCCAGCTGGCGGCTATAGAATTCGCGGTCCTTTTTGCACGTTTTGATGCACATACACTGAATTTTTAAAACCACCGCGGAGAAACTGAGCAGAAAAATATGATATATAAAGACTAAAAGCGATCCTGCCTACCACGTACTATATGCTTGAATTACTTCCGCGTCACCTGGCCTATTTTTCTGCAGACGAAACGTACCTCTCCAGATTCAAAGAACAGCTATGTCAATTCCCATCGCGGTATGTGGCATGGCTCTGAGATTGCCGGGTGGTATATCAAACCCGTCTCAATTCTGGGACTTTCTTGTGTCCAAGAAGGATGCCAGATCCCGGGTCCCTGACAGCCGGTACGCTGTTTCCAGCTACTATTCAAAGACAGGTGCCAACGGCACGATCAAAACTGAGCATGGATATTTCCTTGATGAAACCGTTGACCTCGGGGCGTTGGACGCCAGCTTCTTTAGCTTTACGAAGGCTGAATTGGAGTTGGTTGACCCTCAACAACGCCTGCTGCTTGAAGTGGCCCGTGAGTGCTTGGAAAGCGCTGGGGAGGCCGACTATAGAGGCAAGGATATTGGTTGTTTTGTGGGCTCATTTGGCGATGACTGGATCCAAAATCTTTTCCACGATCCCCAAATGTATGCCAAGTACCCATTGCTGGCTGGCGGCGATTATGCCATCCCAAACCGCATCTCATACGAGTATGACCTTCGTGGTCCCAGCATGATGATCCGTACTGCGTGCTCTTCGACCATGGTCTGTCTGCACGAGGCATGCCTTGCCATACAGAGAGGAGAGTGCTCGGCCGCGGTTGTCGGAGGCTGCAATCTTATCATGGCCCCGACGATGACCGCTGTCATGACGGCAAAAGGGGTCCTCTCACCAGACGGCACGAGCAAGACCTTCGATGCTGAGGCTAACGGCTATGGCCGTGGAGAGGCTATAAATGCCATCTACATCAAACCGCTGCAGGATGCACTTCGCGATGGCAACCCTATCCGGGCAGTAATAAGAGGCACGGCAACTAATTCTGATGGCAAAAGCAGCGGACTCAACGTCCCCAGCCAAATAACCCAGGAAAGTGTGATACGTAAAGCCTATGCAGTTGCTGGGATCGACGATATATCCGACACAGCATTCGTGGAGTGCCACGGAACAGGAACCGCAGTTGGAGATCCCATTGAAGTGATCGCAGTTGCTAATACATTTGGTGATAGAGGTATTTATATTGGGTCTGTCAAACCCAACGTTGGACACTCCGAAGGTGCATCCGGTCTTACTTCCATCATCAAGGCTGTACTGGCCATAGAGAACGAGGTCATCCCGCCAAATATCAACTTCAATACACCAAACCCCAAGATTCCCTTCGAAGAAAAGAACATAAAGGTTCCTACTAAGCCAACTCCATGGCCACAGGATCAATGTATCAGAGTGAGTGTAAACAGTTTTGGTATGGGGGGAGTCAACGCCCACGCTGTTCTTGAGTCTGCGAAAAGTTTCACTCTACCCCGCTCGCCACCAACAGGACAAAATGCCAAGTTGATGTCCTTGCTGCTCTTTTCCGCCAACACTATGGATTCTCTCCAGCGGCGAGTGGATGAGCATCATAAATACCTGCAGGATCAGCCTGGTGCTTTAGCTGATATGGCTTACACTCTGGGAACAAGACGAGAGCACTTGCCATTTCGTGCAGCGTCAATCGTACGACATGACCTGTCTTTGACTACGACACCAATGGCAAAGATTCCATTGTCCCCACCAAAACTCGTTTTCGTATTCACTGGCCAAGGCGCCCAATGGTCTGGTATGGGGGTTGCACTCTACAAAAGTAACAGGATATTTCAACGATCAATTCAAGGCTTGGAGGAGATCTTACGCACCCTACCGGATGCACCTGCCTGGTCTATAATTGATGAGATGATGAAGCCAGTTGAGAAAAGTAACCTTCACAGAGCCAGCTACGCACAACCCATCTGCACTGCATTGCAAATAGGGCTCGTCGATACCCTGTCCAAGCTCAAAGTCGGCCCGTCTGCAGTCATTGGCCACTCCTCAGGGGAACTCGCAGCGGCCTATGCGGCAGGCAAACTGACTGCGCGAGAAGCCTTCATTGCGGCATTTTATCGTGGCGTTGTATCCGAGTATGTCGCAAAGCCTGGGGGGATGGTAGCGGTAGCAATGGGCCGAGAGGAAACCAGTGCATTCCTCATGCCTGGTGTTATAATTGCCTGTGAGAACTCGCCGTCCAGTGTCACCATTTCAGGTGATGTCAATGAGCTGGCGAAAGTCACACAAGCGATTAACACGTCGCGACCGGACGTGTTGGTTCGGCAGCTGAGGGTCGATGTGGCATACCATTCCCCTTACATGAACGACGTGGGAGAAACCTACCGTTCACATATGGCCCGTTTCCTCGTCGACTCACGCACCGGCCGCTCACCACAGGTGGAATTCTTTTCGACCGTCACTGGAAAGCGTCTGGAAGAGGCCACTCTCCTGGACCCCGAGTACTGGCAGTCGAATCTTGGATCTCCAGTTCTCTTCCGTACGGCGATCCAAAGTCTGGCGTCTCATCACAAATGCTCGCTGCTGTTCTTAGAGATTGGGCCACATTCCACGCTCTCTGGCCCGATTCGACAGACTCTGGATCAAGTCTCCTTGAGTCACCCGTATGTCTCGTGTCTGATTCGAGAAAAGAATTGTGAAGAATCTTTTCTTTTGGCCATGGCGGAGTTGTATTCTCAGCATATCCCTCTGGCTCTCGAACCTCTGACAAACCCAGATGGCAATGCCCGCGTCCTCACAGATCTGCCAACGTATCCATGGCAGCATACCTACTCCAATCTCTTCATGCCGCGCAAGAACGCTGATTGGCTGTTCCTGAAGCACCCAAAGCACGAGCTTCTAGGAATTCGAGTGAGTGAAAGCACTGATAACGACCCTTCGTGGAGAAATCTGCTTCCTCTGGAGGAGGTTCCATGGCTTCGGGAGCACAAAGTCAGGGACAATGTTGTGTTCCCAGCTGCTGGATTTCTCTGTATGGCTGGGGAGGCTGTTCGACAACTCAATCCACAGAGATCGGATGGATTCCGTGTTCGCGATATGGAGATAGGAACAGCACTGCTGCTGAATGACGTAAAGTCTATAGATACGGTGACCACCCTGCGGAAAGTCCGTGCATCGGATTGGTTTGACTTTACCATCAGTTCTCATAACGGGGTCTGCTGGGTAGAGCACTGTTCTGGACAAGTCCTTGGAGCTAGTCATCGTCCGGGGATTGAAGCGAAGGTTGAAGAAAGACTACCCCGTCGCATTCAAACGCGGGCTTGGTACAAAGCACTGGAGCAGGCAGGCTATGGATATGGGTCTGCCTTCCAGGGTATGTACAATCCCTCCTCCTCAGCAACCGAGCACATCGCAGCCGGTTATATCATCTCAACGCTCGAGGAGTCAACGTACTATCCAGTACACCCAACCAAACTGGATGCTTTCTTTCAAATTGTGTACTTGGCGGTCCAAAAAGGACGTGTCTGGGGCTTGGACCAGCTTCTCGTTCCAACTCATTTTGCCGAGATTGAGATCTATACTTGTAGCTCTGATCTCAATGCCAGGGCCTGGGGAGGCGGTTTACCAAATGGTGCAGCTTGGGGAAGCGGACAGGCTCTTGACTCCGATGGCGCAGTATCTGTGAGACTTCGCGAGGCTAGAATGTCTCCCCTCAGAACAGAACAGGATGCTAAAGATAGGCCGGATTTCGGGAATGCCCTTAGGTTGCATTGGAGACCCGATATCCAATTTGCGAACCTTACCGACCTTGTCAGCTCGCCGTCTGATTGGAAAGAACATATGAAGCTGCTCAGCAAGCTGACCACTTTATGTATTGCACAAGCGCGCTCTCGTCTTGAAAGTGTACAATCCGAGATACCTCACCTGAAGAAATATCAAGCGTGGCTACAGAACCAGCCCCTGCTGACAACAGACTTCGATATGGAGTCTGTTGTTGCGCAGATTTTGGCGACACCAGCTTCACCCTGCGCGATCGCCATGATGAAGGTCTTGGAAAATATTGTTGCCATGTGCAAGGGCGAACTCGAGCCCCTAGAAGTTCTCATGGGCAATGAAATTTTGTTCAACTTGTATAACTACTTGAACGAGGGCGATCGCAGTGCCTTGTTCCAATTGCTCGGGCACCGTCATCCCAAGCAACGTATCCTCGAGATTGGAGCCGGTACAGGGAGTTCAACCACCAAAATTCTCCCAGAGACAAGATATTCCACGTATACCTTCACCGACGTCTCCGCTGCGTTTTTCCCCGCAGCAAAAGAGCGGCTCAAGGACTACCCGAGCCTCGTCTTCAAGACGCTGGACATCTCACAGGATCCTTTAGATCAAGGCTTCGAACCACAATCATTTGACCTGATCGTCGCCGCCAATGTGCTGCACGCTACACCTAGTCTCAACGAGACGTTGGTGAATGTGCGCAGGCTGCTTCATCCACAGGGCGTCTTGTTGCTGGAGGAGCTTTGCCCAGAAACCAAGTTCCCGAATTTTATTACTGGAGTCCTACCAGGGTGGTGGGCTGGGGAGGCAGACGGCCGAGTTAACGAGCCATATGTGCGTCCTGAACGATGGGAATTTGAACTGAAGAAAGCCGGGTTCAGAGGCTTGGATGATGTCGGGTTTGATGCAGCTCCACCATTCCATAAGAACGCATTCATGCTTGCGAGCCCCCTTCCAGAAGAGGTCCGAACTCAAAGGCACGTCGTGCTTCTATCCAACGCCACATCCACAGAGATCGCGATTCAAATGCAACGACAACTTCGTTTGAGAGGATATGAAGTTGCCATTCAGGGTCTTCGGGACCCCTTGCCAGATGGCCGGGACGTAATCGCCGTGGTTGATACGGTAACACCTTTCTTCCACGAGCTTGATGCCAGTCGATTGTCAGACTTCCAGCTATTTATGTGCGAAGTTCAACAGTCACACTCGGGGGTTTTTTGGGTTACTCGGTGTAGTCAGCTTAATTGCCAGGATCCGCGATTTTCCCTGACAATTGGAGTTGCTAGAACTGCCAGGTCTGAATTTGGCATTGACTTCACGACATGTGAATTCGACGAGATCAAATATACCAGCCTTGCGTTGACGATTGATGTGTTTGAAAAGTACCATGCCCGCACACGCCATAACCATACCCTCTCAGAGCAGGAATTCGTGATTTGCAGAGACACGGTCCATGTAGGACGTATGCTACCAACTTCAATCTCAGAAGAGCTTGCCAGCCCTCGTCGGATGGAGTTGAAAAACCATGATCGTGTATTAACCCTGGCTGTCGGATCATATGGCGTCTTGGATTCACTAAGGTGGGCTGTCAGTGTCGATCAGCCTGTCATGCAAGACAACGAAGTAGAAATCGAGGTGGACAGTGCCGGAGTGAACTTCAAAGTATACCTTCTACCAAGATATCTCACGACCAAAGACTGACAGCTGTTATCCAGGACGTCCTCATGGCTCTAGACATCGTACATTCTAAAGATAGCAGACTGGGCCTGGAGGCTGCTGGGGTTGTGCGCAAGGTCGGCTCAGAAGTGACCAATTGCTCCCCCGGCGACCGCGTTTTCGTCATCGGTCCAGGATGCTTTGCAACTACGATAGTTGTAGCAGCAGCACGGTGTACAAAGATCCCAGACAGTCTATCAATTCAGGACGCCGCTACTATGCCTCTGGTCTTTTCAACAGTTATCCATTGCCTCGTGGATATTGGGCAATTGGACAAGTCACAAGTGAGTACCTCTCCTCTTACTGAAAATTCAATTGTTAATGTTGATACTAGACTGTTCTGATCCACTCTGCATCGGGGGGAGTAGGACTTGCCGCAATGCAAATATGTCAGATGCTCGGAGCGACGATTTACGCAACTGTAAGCAGCAAGGAAAAGGGCGACTATCTGATTAAGACCTACGGCATCCCAGAAAATCATATCTTTTCTTCGAGGGATTCATCGTTTCTCTCTGAGGCGATGAACGCAACCCATGGCCGCGGCGTTGATATCGTGCTGAACACGCTTTCCGGAGAACTGTTCCACGCTTCATGTGAGTGTGTCACTGAATGCGGCAAACTGATAGACCTTGCAAAAGGAAATTCACAGCTGTCTGGCAAGCATTTCCGCTCCAACGCTACGTATACAGTCGTCGACTTGACGGACTATATCAGGCTGAAGCCAGGCGAGTGCCAACGGTATGTGTGGCCATTCAGACGTACTTATGCGAACAGGGATGCTAACATCTCATATCAGACTTCTCAAGACGATAGTGGACCTCTATTCACGGGGCCATATTCAACCTATTCGTCCGGTACGGACATTTGCCGCTGACGAAATTGCAGGTTGCTTCAGATATATGCAGAGCGGCCAACATATTGGGAAACTACGAATCTCTCTCCATGACCAAGGGAGGACATTAAGGCCACTTTTACCTCCCAAGACCGCGACTTTCTGTACTGATGCTGCATATCTTCTTGTCGGCGGCTTACGAGGGTTAGGCAGCGGACTCGCGCGGTGGATGGCCGAGCACAATGCAAGAAACTTCATATTTCTGTCTCGAAACGCTGGAAATAACCCTTCAGACAAAGAACTTCTCGATGAGCTCGAGAGTCAAGGATGCTCCGTAACAATCATCAAAGGAAACGTTTGCAACATAGCGGACGTTGAAAAGGCGATATCATCTGCACCAGTGCCACTGAAAGGAATTTTCAATCTTTCCATGGTGCTGCAAGATGAATCGCTGCTGCGAATTTCCATAGATGATTGGAATGCTGCCATCGAACCAAAAGTACAAGGCACTTGGAATTTGCACAAGGCGTCTCTCAACCATGATATCGATTATTTCATGTTGTTTGGCTCGATGTGTGGGATTCTGGGAATGCCCGGACAGGCTAACTACGCTGCTGCGAACACCTTCCTGGATTCATTCGTCCAGTATCGCCATCAGCTTGGCTTGCCTGCCTCGGTTGTTGACCTTGGGGCGGTTGACGGTATAGGCTACATCGCTGACAATCCGCAAGTCTTGGAACGCTCAAAATGGCTTAAACATGTTCTGATAAGCCAGAAGGAACTATTCAACATGGTGACTGCTGCGATGTGTCAGAGCAACCCCCCGTCAGACACATTCAAGCATAGCTACACCAATCCGGCACAGATCGTAACCGGATTCCGGGACAATACGAACACGGTGGATCCATTTACCAGCAATGCGTTTTTCTTTGACGCGCGCCTAGCGACGTACTTGAATACCACAGCCAACGAGGCAACCATTGATCAATCCACGGGCCAGAATCAACTGAGCAATTTCGTCTCCGCAGCAGGCACCGATCCCAGCACATTATCTGATCCTTCTGCGCGAGACTTCATTGCCAGACAAATCGCAAAATATGTGTTCGATCTTCTCATGAAGCCCGTCGAAGATGTCGCTGAAATCGACCTCTCACGCTCACTGTCCGATGTTGGCCTCGATAGTCTAGCGGCGGTTGAAGTGCGGTCTTGGTGGAAGTCTACTATTGGCATTGAGATCAGTGTCTTAGAGATCATGTCGCTCGCTAGCTTTGATGCGCTGGGGGAACATGCACTTGAGGGTTTGAAGCGAAAATTTGCCATGAGAGAATAATGGACACACGATCAGTATCAGATAACCGAGAGCATTTCGCCTTGGGCTAATGGGGCTGTGTGTTGGAGCCCCAACAATATGTTTGGGACTACTTCAGTGCGACCACAAGTTCGAACCAAAAATGATGAGACAAGCGTCGTCAAGAATCAGTGTATATGGAGGCATCTATGAGCTTTGGTGTCTAGAGATGGAGTAATCACATATTTAATGGTTAAACCAATTATGAAAATACCTGGATGATGGAAGATTGCTAGCCATGGATGCTGGCAGCCTAGTGAAATATAATAGGTCTTCAGCTCATTTATCTTCTCCAAATTCTTTAATCGTTACACAGCATGTCAAAGGTGGTACTCAGCGCTATTTCTGTGCCCTCACTCACAGGCCCAGTGAGGGGTCACGCCTACCAGGGCCCTGTGCGAGTTTAAGCATGACCTGAATTCAAGGAAACTGAAGCCCGACTTTCTGGGAGAGAGGCCAAATTGCGGCTATTCTCTGATGTGGCTTTTAAACGCCCTGAGAGAGCCAGACGTGGGCTGTGACAACATGAGGTGGTATCCGGGGTTGGAACACGTCGCAGTTTTGCGAAGAGGACACTTGTTCAGCGTGTCACTCCGGGAAGGAGGCGACATCATCTCATATCTGAAGCTGAAAGCAACATACCAAGGAATCCTTGACCTCAACCTGGAGGAAAGGCTCTGGACGGGCATCCTGACGACAGACAGCCGTGACAGTTGGGCCACTGTTGGTCTTGCCCTGCCTCTTGTACCGCTTGCTATACTGTGTCCCCAGAACTGACAGAAGCTCCTCTTGCTGGACACGAGGAACGCCGCGTATATCAAAAATGTTGGAATGCTTCTTTGTCATGTGACTTGATGACGACAGCCTGGTCATGCGTGAGGATGGGCCCGGCCCGGCTACCTTGGTGACTTGTTCAACTGCTGCACAACAAGACACTACAGCTTGTCGTCACCGCCAACGGCAAGTCCGGTACCATCTTCAAGCATTCCACCATCGACTCCATGACCACGTCGCAGATCTCGCAGAGGCTACGGGCATATATGGGTCCGTATCTGCTGCGACGGTCATGGCTCACATGTGCTCCGCTTTTCCTCGGATCCAGGTTGGGCTCATGGTGGGAATCGGAGGGGTGTTCCAAGCACACACAATGACATTTGTCTAGGTGATGTGGTGGTGGTCAGCAAGCCAGTGGGCAATGGTGAGCCAATATGACCACGGATTGTATCGCTTGGCGAAGAACATTCGCGGTCTCGTCATCCACCAAGTGCCGTTGGTTCTATGCAATCTCTGGTTGTTTGTGCTGCATATGTCTATGAAAGAAGGATCAATGGTCAGTTAAGCTCCCAAGCAAACAGAAAATTCAATCTCACGAAATCCAATGGAGGTCAGGCCACGGGCGCGAAGACAACTCATGAGCGCAAAAGGGGGTGGCGAAGTGCAGAACACCGGATGTACAGCCCAATAGCAAAAATGCCTCAATGTCATGAGTCGGAAGACCGCGAAAGGGTGGAAAACAGCGACGAAAGTTGGCCATATTCTCGAGGGGGCAAGGAGGAAGCTATATAGACCACGCACTGCGATGCCAAGCCTCAACGACGCGCTTTCCCCAAATAGGAACGCTATACCGCTTCTAGTAATTCGCCGTCACCGAAGAATACGGAGTAGTACATTGCGCAAACCACTAAGACACAAGAGAGGGGGAGTATCAAGAGGTGAAAGCGTCATCGATTTCTGATTAGTTCTGTAGACTGTAGATCACATTACTATCCAGGCATCCGCCGAGTGCTCTATTTGACTGAGATTCTAACCTCCATAGATCGTGCTGCTGAACGGACCATGGATCGTCAGGTGGAGAAATCTCATGAACCGAAGACCGAAGTACACATGCCGTCACTACTGGATATTTCGATGGAGTGCATGAAGATCGTTATGATTACTTTGTGAAAGGTTCCCCTGGAATATGCAGATGTTGCTTTTAGTGAACTTTCATCAGTACATAAGCTCAATTTAGGGATAAGAATCAAATATACTCTGCACAATGGATGGAGTATGGAGTAGTCTATCTAGTAGCTAACTCATCAAATTTGTCCAGTAAACTGTGGCTGGTGAGATGTACCTTAGTACTCACGGCAAGTGGGTTAGGCTCAGGCATTACTTTGCTGCTTTAGGACATCGCGAATTCGTGATACATACCTTAACCGTCCTGCATGCTACCTACATCCCAGGCTGCTAAGGTACTGTACTAAATGATGATGATACAGTCATGACGTGAAACCAGACCCGCCGCTCATCATATGATTTGATCTGTCGGAGATCATACCTGGTCCTTGGAGTCGAAAGCAGAATTTGACTTTGCCCCTTGAATGTGGGGAGATGATCGAAATGGATGTAGTAATCTGTAATGTAACATTTGTTCCTGAACAGAGAGGCACAGTGAGGTATCCGTGTCAAGCACACCCACACCGGTTCCCGGTGTGGGTGTGCCGCACCAGAATCGTAGTTTTCAGCGGAATCGTAATGTACCTTTTATATGGTGATGCCATATAAAAGGTACATCCTCCCTAAGTCTACTATCTTAGGTATTTGCTAGGGGTGACTATATTTTAAGATAGTAATATTAAAATTATATATTCTTATATCTCTAATCTTTAGTTAAAACTCTTAAAAGGCTTTTAATTATAAGTTGTTCCCTCATGAAGAGTTTCCCTCTATAAAAACTCTTTCTTAGGGAACAAGAAAGAGAGAGACTATTCTGTCTTAACACTTGTAATATTTCTTTCTAATAATAAAGATAGTAATAAAAGATAGATATTTATATATCTAAATAATAGTAAACTATAAAAACCAAATGTGTACATATCTAGATCAAATAAGCTATATGTACCTTTTATATAGCAATACTATATAAAAGGTACATTATGATTGCGGTGAAAACTACGATTCCGGTGCGGCGCACCCACACCACGGAGTGGTGTGGGTGCGCCTGGCACGGATACAATGCCATGATAGGTATGTGGTAAGGTAGTGGTACAAACCTAGGGAGGTTTAAGGAGCTGAGCTGGTGGTCTCAAAAATTTGCCACAGATTGACTTCATCAGTAAGGTAGGTAGGTGCTCAAGTGGGGCGTACTTCCAGATCTAGTGGAGCCAAGTCATCAGCCCAGCCAGGCATTGGCCAATGTATATGCAGCAGGGGTGTCGACCAAGCTGATAGAGTACTAGCGCTAGCGAAGTAAAATTGTTACAACTTACCAGCTGGGCACTATTGGAGCTAGTTTTGTTACCTAGTGAACCATGTTGCGACTGGGGAATTTTGCTGCTCAACAGCTGTAGGGACTCTGTGAAGAAAGGCAGGGGGACACTTACCTTACAAGACAGGTAGAGATATTTTATGAGACACATGGGCGGATAGTGTCATATTGCCGGTCTCATTAATGAGGACGGAGCTATATGTATGGACCTGACAAGTAAATTAGGTCATGCTAGGTTGCTGCAAGCTGTAACTGTAAGTCGAGGTTTCGGTTTCAGCTAGATCAGCTAGTGAGTGTAAACAAAGTCCTATGCTAGGAGCTGAATTTGCCTTTATCGTCATCATCAATTCGCCCCGCCGTCCCAAAGATCAGGTCTTTTTCCAGTGTGGCTCAAAGTCTGAATTTGGGGCGTATCTAGGTACCTTACCTGTCCCTTTCGTTCTTTCGCTACAAAGGAAACTCCCTGCGCTCGACTTCGGCTTTTCTCCTCTTTATTTTGGCAGTACACACTATTTGAGACTCCGAAGATTCCACAGTCCCTCCTCGTGCATCAATTGGCATGCATGGCATGTACAAATTGAATCCTTCAAGCATTTTGAGTGGTTCGACATCGTTTTCGATTTCCGACCAAAATAAACTTCGCCTGGACTCTCCGACGTCAAGCTGTGGCTGAGCGTATCGCTCGCCCCTCGTTCCCTTAAGATTTGGTTCCTTGGTCGTTTCGTGGTCTTCTTTGACTTTTTATCTACTAGTCCCAATTTCTTTTTCACAGGCCTCTGACCCGAGGTCTTTCTTTCCTATTTTCCTTTCCTCCTCTATCTCGCATTTCTGTGTTGTTTCTGTTGTTTCTCGCTGTGTGACTCGATTCCTCCCGTACAACGAGCTTGTCGCTCCCTATTGCACCTTGGGTGCTTGGAACTTCCAAACAGGCCCCGACTTCCTTACCGCTAAAAGCGCAAACTATAGGTCGACTCGGCAATTCCTCCCCTAAGCGCTGGGGAGTGAGTCGACAGAGTCAAAATGGCCCTCTACGACGATATGGCTGGTCTGCACCAGCTGTCCCGTCGTGCGGTGAGTACCAGGAACTGTGATGGATTGCGATAGCAATCCACCTTGGGGGTTTAACGAAACACTGACTAACGCCTTCTAGGATGACAACCCCGAAGATACGTCCAACTCGGCTTCTAGCTTGGTGTCTACTTTGGTTCCTTCCCTAGTGATAGCTGTCATCATGGTCTTGGTCTTCGTGATTCTGCGGCGAAGCGAACGTCGCATGTATATGCCCCGAACCTATCTCGGCTTTCTGCGCCCTGGGGAACGCAGTCCCCCCGTCGGCACTGGCCTGTGGAATTGGATTACCGATATGTACAAGTTACCCGACGAATACGTTTTGCAACATCATTCTATGGACGCCTATCTTCTGCTTCGCTTCCTGAGGTTGATTTCAGTCATTTGCTTTGTCGGCTGCTTGATAACCTGGCCCATATTGTTTCCCGTCAATGCCACAGGCGGAGCTCACAAACAACAATTGGATATCTTGAGCATGTCCAACATTTCACAGGATAATAACGCTCGTTACTTCGCCCACGCCTTCGTCGCTTGGATCTTCGTCGGTCAGTAAACGCTGCGCAATAGTATTTCACTATCACTTTTTCTCGAGGTCTGATTGAGTGGCAGGATTCGTGTTCATGACTGTCACCCGCGAGGGCATCTTCTATATCAACCTGCGCCAGGCGTATTCCCTCTCTCCCGCCTATGCCAGCCGACTCTCATCGCGAACAGTTCTTTTCACAGCTGTGACTGAAGACTATCTCAACCGTGACAAGATCCGGAAAATGTTCGGCATTGAAAAGGTGAAGAATGTTTGGATCGCTACCGACACCAGTGAGCTAGAGGACAAGGTCAAGGAACGGGATTCTGCCGCCATGAAATTGGAAGCCGCCGAAACGAAACTCATTAAGCTTGCAAACGCTGCGCGAGCCAAGGCCCTGAAGAAAGGGGGAAGTGCCGAGGATGATGCTGTGCCACTTGAAAACTTGTCTGATGAGCCAGATGACGAATCGGGCTCTGTGGCAGCTCGCTGGGTCAAGGCTTCGGAGAGACCAACGCACCGCCTGAAATTCCTTATCGGAAAGAAAGTCGATACGATCAACTGGGCCAGGTCAGAGATTGAGCGGCTTAGCCCGGAAATCGAGGAGCTCCAGGCTAAGCACCGTGCGGGCGATGCCAAGCTGGTTTCATCCGTCTTTGTCGAATTCTACGCTCAAGCGGACGCGCAATCTGCCTTCCAGTCGGGTATGTCAAGCCTCGGATTTTGATTCCAGGACGTTTTGGTGAGCGTCAATGCTAACTAGCAAATGTGATCAGTCGCACACAATCTGCCTCTGCACATGGCCCCTCGTTACATTGGTCTGGACCCTACGCAGGTCATCTGGTCGAATTTGCGCATCAAATGGTGGGAGCGCATCGTCCGTTACTCTGCCACAATTGGATTTGTCTGCGCTCTCATCATCTTCTGGGCAATCCCCGTCGCTGTTGTAGGCTCCATCTCGAACATCGATTCTCTAACGAACAAGGTCCACTTTCTCAGATTCATCGACCATGTCCCCGGATGGATCAAGGGTGTCATCACTGGTCTTTTGCCCACTGTTTTGATGTCTGTGCTCATGGCTCTGTTGCCCATTGTTCTGCGATGTAAGCCGGGTCTTCCCAAAGCCAACGTGACTACAGAGCTGTACTGATCGTGTGTTCCAGTGATGGCCAAGCTCGGTGGCGCCCCCAGCGCGGCAGCTGTTGAGCTGACTACACAGAATTTCTACTTCGCTTTCCAAGTCGTTCAAGTCTTCCTGGTTGTGACCTTGGCTTCCTCGGCGGCTAGCGTCGTCACCAAGGTCATCCAGCAGCCTTCTTCTGCTCCCCAGCTCCTCGCCACGAGAATCCCCAAGGTTGCCAACTTCTACATTTCCTATATAGTTCTACAGGGTCTTTCTTTCAGTTCCGGTGCTCTGCTTCAGATCACCGGCCTGATCTTGGGCAAGATTCTGGGCAAATTGTTGGACTCTACCCCGCGAAAGATGTACAAACGCTGGTCATCCCTCGCTGGTTTGGGCTGGGGAACCGTATATCCTCCCCTGACCCTTCTTGCAGTCATCGGTAAGGCTTCGTACTCGTTGCGGTTATATTAGTTCCCTGCAGCTAACGATGTCGTCCCGTTGGGATTAGCCATCACCTACTCGTGTATCGCTCCGCTGGTGCTTGGTTTCGCGACCATTGGTCTGTACCTGTTTTATTTCGCCTACCGGTACAACATGCTCTACGTGTCCAACGCCAACATAGACACTCAGGGCAAGGCTTACGCTCTTGCCCTGCAGCACATTACTGTGGGCTGTTACTTGCTTGTGGTCTGCTTGATCGGCTTATTTGCCATCGGAACTGCAGCCAACCGAGTGGCACTGGGCCCCTTGATCTTGATGATTATCTTCCTTGTCTTCATGATTCTTTACCACATTTCTTTACATAGCGCTCTCTCTCCTTTGATTAACTATCTTCCCAAGAATCTGGAGGCTGAGGAGCAGAGTCTTCTTCCCTCCGAACCAATCAAGCACGGCGATTCTGTTGGCGAGCACCCGGACGACATTGCCGCGACTAACCCAGGGAAGAATGGGAATAGCAATCTCCCGGATGTTGACGCTGCCGAGAAAGGCCTGACCACCGCCCCTGTCCCCTCCGAGAAGAAGCCCAATCTGATCCTGAAGTGGTTCCGCCCCGACAAATACGATGGATACTCACAACTGCGGCGCCTTGTCCCTGAGGCTCATGAGACTACACAGTACCCTCCTGAAGTTGAACGCGACGCCTACTTCCACCCAGCGATTACCTCCCAGCCTCCACTTCTGTGGATCCCTCGTGATAAACTCGGGGTGAGCAAACAGGAGGTCAAGCACTCGGCACGGGTGATCCCCATCACAGACGAGGATGCTTGGCTGGATGATAAGAACAAGATCCACTGGGATGTTGATAAGGGCGTTCCTCCCATCTTTGAGGAGAAAATTTACTATTAAGACGCTGGTTCTCTACTCCCGAACTCCTTTTGCCGAGCCATCATTCTACAAGAGTTCGAAGTGGAATGAAGGTATCGCGATGCGGAAGAGGTCTCGTCCTGCTGCTTGATACCCCAGCAGCCACTGGTTGATTGAATGTCACCGGTCTAATACAGTTTTTTTGGACAAATATATAATCTAATGTATATTTTGGAGTGGATCCCTTTTGGTGGACGCAGATATCTAATGGTTTACTTTTGACGTTGTCTATGATCCTTGGATAGCCTTGATGCCGTCGAGTTCGACTGCTTCATGCAGGGGACGTTAGGATATATGAAATATACTGATTCCTGATCGCGCTATCTAAAATGAATAGTAACGTTTACCTTTTCAAGTGACCACAATCGGGAGTCTTAGGCAAAATCATGGGTTCGTTCGAGTCTAATTGCTGTTCATCTACAGCAATTGGCATCAACTTCACCGAGTTCTAAGAAAGAATCCTACTCCGGCTCACCCACACAGGAGTAGCAACCACCACACGGCTGCGTACCACAATCCCAGCATGTCACGGATGGACCAGAACATCCATATGCACGGCAGTTCAACGGATATCCCTCATTGCTCTGCAAAACAGACTCGCTCACCAAGTTGTGGCTTGGAATTGAGCGTGCAAGAGAATACAGGAGGATAATCATTCCTGCTAGAGCGACAGTAATCGTAGACGACAACCGAAGTGTCTTCATGATGTAATGGGTCAGTTGTGCTGTTTTGTCCCGCCAGGCGGGTCTGTATATATAAATAGGCACAGGTTCTATACTAGGATCTCGTTCACAACTCCTGCATATCACCAGGGTCAAAGTCACCAGTAATAGGTAGGTCTGCGCAGGGGATCTCGGCCTCAATATATTAAGTCGAGGTTTCCGCAGACCACCACCGGACCGGCAATCCGGTGATTTCTTGCATTGCATCCTTGCTTGATGCTCTTCACCGCGCCATCAGTAATAATTTGATCTGTGCTGCTGAGAGAAAGCGGGGTCTCTCATAATGGACCGCCCCTGATCACATGTTTTGCACCTCTGTTACTTTGGGTTATTTATCATTATTCTTCTCCTCAACGTTCAACTGCAACTCTTCAATGCCACAGTGATGTGGTCTGAAACACCGATGGTTTCCCTCCATGACAATTGCCGATGAAGTCGGGAAATCCCGAGCTAGCGGTGACGGGGCCCATTTTCCATTTTCGGCAGATGCTGGTCTCGCCTATGCTGTTGCTAGTCTCACGAGGGTCCTGCAATGTCATGCTTAGTTGTGCTGACAAGATGATTAGAGCATCGCCTGCAGATGCGATGTAACCCTGGTCTCACGATGCTTGCCGGTTCAGAAGTCATACCGTGGGGTATATATAGCCCCAAGATTCGAGCACTTTTGTACTCGAAACAACAGATCAAGAGACTGCCGTACGCCCTCAAAATGATCAAATCTTCTATCCTCGGGGCATTGGCCCTGCTCAGCTGCGCCCTCCCCAGCAACGCCACACAGATCTTCCGCAACACCGGCACCCTGGCGGGCTGGGACTTCGTCAACCACGAACACTCCGGTACCGTGCAGGAGGTCAGCAACGTCGCCTATGAGGGCTCCACCTCCCTCAAGATGACCCAGGTCTACGACGCGAGCTACACAGGTCGCTACCACTCCGAGGTCGTCAAGTACAACGTGTACAAGCGCGGCGACACGGGGTTCTACGGGTTCGCGTTCCGCCTACAGCAGGACTGGCAGTTCTCCCCGGCGCAGTCGTACAACATTGCGCAGTTCATTGCAGACTTCTCCGACACAGGCTGCGACGACTACATGCCGTCGAGCATGGTGTGGCTGGTCGGGAACCAGCTCTACTCGCGCGTCAAGCAGGGGACTGTCTGCGCGCAGAAGATCCAGACGTTTAGTAATCTTGCCACGGTTTCTGCGGGCGTGTGGCACAAGGTGATTATCCAGGCGAGTTGGAAGACGGACGGCACGGGGCTCTATAAGATGTGGTTTGATGGGGTCAAGGTGCTGGAGCAGTATGATATCAACACGACAGTGGAGGACGACCGCGAGTTCCAGTTCCGGGTTGGGCTGTATGCGAATGGATGGCATGACGATAAGGGCATGAAGGGGACGCAGGGGACAAGACAAGTCTGGTATGATGAGATAGCGGCAGGGACGACTTTTGCCGATGCGGATCCCGCGCAGTGGTAGGCATCACCGAGTCTCAAGCATGATTCGAAAAATGCGAGGTGCACAGCTTCCAGATACGAAACGACATTCGCGGATAGATGATGGTGACTGAATGGTATTGGGAGAGACTGCCAAGTCCTAATTCTGCTGCTAGTGCTCAGTGTTTCCGGCAAGATATGAGCTTAGGCAAATTGACATCGACTTGACCCTTTCCACTAATTCAAGGCAAACTCCACTTCGTGTGCAGTAGTGAACCGCTTAGGCCCGTAGTTTGTAGACTGTCTAGTGTCTGTGTTCACTCATTAGTCTGTACTAGGACCTGGTCCATCCCACGTGCGTTATGAAAGCTTACCCTCAATCCCTGATTCAAGACACGGCACAATTGGCCCGTTCATGTTCCTCCCCTGAATCTTTGTGAGTTGCGATTATATATTTGTTTTCGGATCCCTTATGACTTTGTATTCTCAGTTTTCAGCACTATCGCTTCTCTGCCAGCTTTTCATCAATAATATTTTAGATACATGTATATTGCCAAGTGAAAGATGCCCCTGTTTGAGACAATGATGGAATGAAGGTCTCTTCCAGCCGTGTGGTTTGTTCTCGTCGATCATTCCACTCGACGCGCACCGCACTCCATCGGCTGCGGTCGTTTCTTGAACCCTCTGGCTGGCAATCTGCGACAGGGGTCCCACGTGATATCATCATGGCTCCCATCTTAGTCTACCACATTGAGTGATATACTCCGAAAAAAGTCTTGATTCTAATAGCTGGTCTAGATTCGTGATCCAGGGAGAATAGTTAAAGTCAAACCGCTGGAGGGCTTTGTGGTGGCCCTACTACATGCGTGTATGAATGTCTGAACTTCTGAAGAATTTTCTGTTTCTGAGAGGAGATATGCGGGTCACACAACTATGTAATGCCGAAGATCAGACACCGGGATTTGCAATTATGAAGATCTTGTTAGGTGCTATGCATCCGGAACGGTAGAGAGTAGTACAGTAGATGACCGACCGTTGTACTATGTACCTTAGCTGAGGAAACTTGGTTGGATACCCGTGCAGGGACCAAAGTGGACCTGGATTTCCACATTTCAACCCTTCTACTCCTGGACCGCTCCCTGTTTCTGCTCCCTCAGTATTTGGACTTGATTGCTTGTTTGGATAGATTTTGGCAATTTCTGCAGGGTTATCACCTGAAAATGAGGTTCATAATCCCTTCGAATATACTAGGACCAGTCACAAGCCTAGATAGGGCTCTATTCTCAACGTCGAAAGCGGCATTTCACTGACAGGAGGATAAACTTTGATCGTCCCTGGAATGCGTGGAATGTGTGGATGCTTTAGGATTAGGATTGCGTGCCACTGACCCACAGGGAACTTGCTGGAGGAAATCGAAGAAGGCCCGGATCAAGTAATCGACCAAAAGCGTTCGCAGTTCCAGTCGAGCATGGCACTTCTTCTCCTAAATCTCAGCAGGGACTCAGGGTCTCTTGAACACCGCGTATCATATCATCTACCACAGTAAGTGGTACCGCTAAGCATTGCGGATCTGCGCCCCCGTTCCTGATCAACATTGGTCAGTGGATTGCTGGATTGCTCGGTATGAAACATTCCCCCGTGGACTGTTACCTGGGTAATGATGTATGCTCATCTGTCTGAAGCAGCTGGCCTTAGATGATCATCCGGCGCATTGGTTAAATGCATTTCGCCCTCCCTCCCCGCAACCATGCACGCAATCAACAAGATGTTGATGCACCGGTTTGCGCGCCATGGCCTCTTAACGGCGGTCTTTTTCATGCTCTTGATCACAGTGTGGTCATTGAACTTGGATTTTCTGATAACAAATGTAAGTCATGCGCTTGCCTGACCGGAAGTAGAGGACTTGTCGTTAATTCTTGGAAAACAGAGACGCAAGTCCGCGCAACAGAGGTATCTTGAGGAAGAAAGGGGTTATCCTAGGTGTGCATAAGTTCCACCAGTGAATACAGCCGGCAACTAACGTGGGATCCTTCGTTGTGTATAGTGTGTTCGGCCATGTCGTCTCCACATTGGACAGGTTAGCCGTCCCTCCGACTCCCGACAACCGTACCATCCTCGAAGATCCTCGTTTCGAAGGAGAGCAAGGCAGCAAGATCCCCAGGATATACCGACCGTACCCAGACTATAGCAGTCAAGAATGGCAGAACACGCATCGGGGCCTGTTTGTCCCATGCCAGGGCCCGCGTGGGAAGCTCCTGAATGAGAGTTTGGATGATCAGGTCGGTGTTTACGTTGGCGTTCCCGACGGTAGGCTTTCTCTGTACTTTTGGAGGTCATGCTACACTGAGAATGCTGACTTGCAGGCCAGAGTTCCCATCCCCTATGTTTGGTAGCCATGAGGCTGTCGAATTTAACGGTCAGGTTTCCTTTGACCGCTACACCAGATATGGTGCTTATGGCTTAGGAGAGGACGAAAGTCTTGTCTCTAACTGGGTCAAGCCATCCAAGGTCAAGTGGAATGAAGTGGATTGGTCAGACCTGCAACACCAGTGCTATGATCGCAATGCCGCCAGATTCTCTCGGAAGAATGACGGTCTCTCCAAAGGAAAACAGCATATCGCGCCTGAGTCTCGAAGTGCTGTCCTAATTCGCACCTACGTCGGAAAGAAGTACACCGAGAATGATCTTCAGGTCATCCGCTCGATGATCACTGAGCTGTCACTACAATCAGGAGGGGAATACACTGTATTCTTGCTCCTTCATGTTAAGAACTCGGAACTCCCTATTGACCAGGTTGAAGTACACCAGAGGGTCCTGAAAGATAATGTCCCTGAAGAATTCTGGAACATGACCATTCTCTGGAATGTGCCAATGGTTGCGGCCCGGTATCCAAATCTCGATCACAATGTCATTGAGTACGTTCACATGGCAACTGCATCACTGATCGAGTTGAGCTGACGGTTGTAGTGTCCATCATGCGCAGTGGCTCTCCATTCAACATTTTGCCCTGCAATATCCCGACTTCGACTTTGTGTGGAACTGGGAGGTCGATGCTCGGTTTACGGGCCATCACTATGAATTCGCCAACAAGGTAGCCGAGTTTGCTCGGAAGCAACCACGGCGGGGGATGTGGGAGCGCAATGCTCGCTTTTATATCCCGGCAGTCCATGGTGACTATGATAGTGCTTTCCGAAAGTTTGTGGAGCGGATCGAAGGCGAAGCGGTCTGGGGCCCTTTACCCATCGGTCCCATGCCCGTGAAGGACAGGGAGGTCCTTGGTCCTTCGCCGCCGGTGCCCTCACCGCGCCAGGACTCCTATGCTTGGGGAGTTGGCGAGGAAGCTGATTACATTGGCTTTCTTCCAATATTCCACCCCATCGGTACCGAGTGGGTCATCCGAAATGAAGTATCAGGGTATATAGGACCTGAGACTCCCCGTCGAGCCTCGTTGATTACACATTCCCGGCTTTCGAGGAGATTGTTGCTCGCCATGGACGCGGAGAACCTCGCTGGTCGGCATATGGGCTCGGAGATGTTCCCAGTCACCGCCGCACTGCATCATGGCCTCAAAGCGCTTACCGCTCCGCACCCGATCTACTCGGACAAGAACTTGCCTCCGGAAAGCGTGGATAAATGGTTCAACTCCGGAGTCAATGGGAGAGCGGGAAGCACGAAGAACAGCCCCTTTTCCTGGGGCCGGGAATCCCGCTTCAAGGACGTCTCGTGGTACTATCGCGCCAATCTGCCTGGACGGCTGTATTGGAACTTTCTGGGATGGAGGAAGGAGGGGACTGGAGGGAAGCTGGTAAGAACTATGCGTAAGCTATGATCAGGCCAGTCATGCTAATTTGGGGATGCGATTATAGTATGAGACCTTACATGGACGGGTCTGTCTTCCATCGATGCTTTTCCATCCTATCAAGGACGTTCGACCGGACGCGGATAGCACACACTATCAGTTTGATTACGAGTTGGGATACGTTACCATTCAGTGATACCTCTTCGTTCTGTCGCACTGCTTCGTTGATTCTTGTATATAGATAGACTTGTTTTTTTACTACATTTCGCATTAGCCCGACCAGAGTGCCGGTTTGTCGGCCCAGCCAGTGGAGTCTGGAGTCTGTGATCACATATTTTCGAGTCTGTCGTTTGCCTTTAATTTGTTGTTTGAATAGACATCAGGCACTTGGCGTGTCTTGGCCATGCTTGGTATATATCTATTGATATCATTGCGTTCGACCTCAAGTCCTTCTGGAGCCTGGTTGTCTTTTCACGTCAAATCATAGGAATAGTGCGATAATCAGTTGCTGTTTTTGCCTGCCCTTGTTAGTCCACAAGCTCGTGGGTATAGTCCAGAAATTCAACATGTATATAGTACTCCTAGGCAGTTGTCCAAATCACACTCTTATTACAGTCAGTGAACCAGGTACCAGAGCCAAAACCCATCTCCAATTCAGCCTTTATAATCGAGGACTATCTGCACTACTTATATGTTTACCACTGCTACTACTGTATAATCTCAATGCTAAATGTGAATGGACATAGAAAACACAATACGCAATATGCGTATCATCCAATTTCAAATGTGATCCATCACAACTCGAAGCGCATTCCCCGATTCAACACGGACCTCAACCACTGACAGGTATATTATGACTTACAGTAAGGCATCTGCCTGGTACTGAGTTTCCATTATTGTATTCAGTGACTTCCATCGAGTTCTTGATTACCTACCTAGGTTTCAAAGGAGCGTCCCGCGTCCCCTTATAGACTAAGAAGTCTAGAACATGGAAATTTCTGCTGTCAGTACGGATACGGACCTACCTTACGCATTGTGGTAAATGGTAAATAAAGTAATGATGGAAAGGAATCGAATGTTTACGGCTGAGTGCACCAAATGTATTTGAAAGCTCAGGCCTGGTCTGATCGATCCCCGCAATATCAACTACCTTCTACCAGTGGTCCATGCAAGCAACGATGCGTTTGCTTCTAACAGATGAAAAGGACGACCTTGATTCTCACTCTCTCCTGTGGCTTTGAGACAAGGGAATGGAGAAAACACGGTCGGAGACTGACACTTTCAAGTCCAAGGCAAGCCCACACGGCACCATTGCCCCAAAAGGGCCTCTTACACGACGCCACGTCGCCGGGAGGGATTCCCCCCGGCCTCTAGCGTCCGTAGCGGCCGGTTTGTTACACCAATCAGAATACGGAGATGGCAAATGACATGGATGAGCGGGGTCCTTGTTACGGTATTTCTCATGATTTGGGGCGGTTACTGCGCGGTGGTTCGTACACGACACCCACCAACGGTTCAGGTTGGCAAGGAACGATGCAGTACGGGGTACTGTTCACCTCGTCAGCCAGCCACGGATGGACGGCCTGCAGGTGTTCGGATTTGGGTTCTTCAGTGTCATGGTTTGAAGTGTTGAGTTCCGTGGACTAACCATGATATCTTGGGATTTGGTCCTGGAATCGTTGACTGGTTCCACCAGGAAGCACTGACGTATAATTGAACTGGATCATCTTAGAGATGAGGTGTTAAGACATTGAATAAATGAATTATCAGTCTCAATACATACATATTGTAATAAGGTATATACTGAATATGACCTTTGTTATCATGGCCTTGAAGAGATCGGGATGAGTCAGAAACACCAGCATCGCAACGCCATGCTAGTCTGACGTTGTCAGACAGTTCGTAGACAGACGAGAAAAGAACCCATAACCGAGAATAGAAGGAAAGAAATAAAGGGAATGGAGAGTGGCTCGAGGCAATATAGCCGCTGCAAAGGAATAAAACGCAAGACGGAGCAAGCCAACCAAGACATAGCCATGCTTTTCTCGCTCATAATGATAATGACGGTATCGATGCCCAAATGATATACTGCCCATAAGGATGATAGTAACGCTGCACGACGCTAAACACAATGAAAGGTTGGTGTAGGTCTCATAGAACCTTGTATGGTAGGTGACGACCGTTGTTCGCCTAGGCTCTAAGCCGACTGGCGCGGAAGGCCTTGATGTCGATAGATTCCACTGAAGCAGCCGAAGCGTCGTCAACTTCGATTTCGTCATTGCATGAAGCCAGAGGCTTATCGCACTGAGGTTCGGCAGCCGTCTTCGTAGGTGAAACCATGACACTTTCCTTCTTTACGTCTTCTTTTAAAGACTCCTCTGGTTGCTCTCCCTTCAGACTTTGCGCTTCTTTGGTTGCTAATTCAAGTAATGAACGAAAGTCCTCCACAACGCTTCTCAATTCCGCCGAGCAATCTCCATAGCGCAGGAAGTGGTAAGCCGCTGTCTCGCAGTGGCTGTGTGCCAGCTCGAGCTGTCTATCTACCACATCAAAAACCGTTTCCTTCGGAGGAACGCGGCTTGAGGACGTCTCTGCGCGTGGAGGACCCCTGGTTCGCATGCTGCGAATATTGGTCAATATGTCGCCATCAGAACTGTCAACCTTGTCCAGAAGAGCCGGTGCTAGACGATTCTTCCTCGCATCTTGGTTGCCCATGCGCGATCGGAGGCCACCCAGAGAGATCTGTGACATCTTGCCTCGTCGCATATTGTTCCGTGCGGTACCAATGTTCCGTACCATCTCCTCCAGCGACTTTTGCGTGTGACCGTCGTAATGGATGACCACGTTGTGTCGAATGCTGACAAAGTCCGYAATCCCCTCGGCGGAGTCGATGGAAGGGGTCCCGTCGGCACTTCGTTTTCGGGGAATCAATCTAATCTGGGATATCGAGGCTTTCGGTGCATTGCTAGGGGTTCCCTGGGTTGGTTCGACGGAGGAACCACGATTCTGGGACGAAGGGAAGATGTCATCGGTGCGGATGGAGCAGACGGAGCTGTTTTTGCGACGCCGGGGCCTACCCGGGGCGTATTTCTTGTAAGCTTCGGTGTACTCAGCATGTTTGGCAGCGGTATAGGCAGCCAGTTCTGAAATTTGATCGATCCAAGCCGGCAGGTTGTCGCACATGTAGGAGAAGGCTCCTAAAGCATCCATTGTCGGAGCTATGGCTGTATGCTACGTCGAAAACAATTGGAAGATTAGAAAAAGTAGAGAAACAAGGATGAAGGCGACCAATTTGTCTCCAGATCCTATGTAGAAATGGTGTTCGAATAATCGTGCCGTCGTGAGTCGTGAGGTTCGATAGTGGTGAGTACCGTTGGTGGCGGTCGGAACCCGTTGGTTCCTTCAATATCCTCCCATAAGGCGGAGAAAATTATAACCAAAAAATAGTCGAACTCGGGCGAGGGAGTGTTTTATTGTCTTTGAGATTATTGAATATTGTCCTCAATGACGGTATTGACAGGCCGCAAGTAGTATCGCAGGATAGGAAAGGGAAAAGGTTGAGAGATGGCCGTCGTGTGAACAAAGTCGACGGTCGAAGGTCAAAAAAGAGGTATGGGGAGGATGAGAAAGAAACAGGGAGGAGAGACGACGGGTCGGGCCAGAATTATGGAGTTGAGTGAGCGGAGGCGGCGTATTACTTACCTTTACGTTACATGTGTATTACAAACGAGTTACCTCAGGTAGAGGCCGAGCAACGCCTTCAAGGTACTTCCAGGAAGTGTTTGTTAGATAGGTAGGTACCTTAGATGCCAGTAAGTATCCGTACAGGTGAGCGGTACTTTATCATTCCCCGAAAAGTGAAGCCCGAGACTTGGCATGGATCGATGGCTGCAGGAAGCCGCATTTGTTGTTATCTTACGAGTTACGCTACGGCAGAATTACCTACAGGGATGTATATTATGTTACCGCTGCATGAGCGACTGTCATACTCCGACGACGGTCCTACAGAAGGACAAACCAATCAAATTTAGGAACTGGGCTAAGAATAAGGACCCATGCCCAACGGAATATCCCTGCCAGCTTGCTTTCCTTGGCGGGTTGTCCTGATGTCTCTGTAAGATTATTATTAGTGTTGGTAACTAACAATACCATCGCAGTATCTTTTACCGTCTCCACGAACTCAACAGATACAAATACAATGCAGCTTCTGCTGGCTTCTCGACTATCCAGAATACCCCTCCAAGGCTCCAACAAGTTTTATGTGGTCTAACGAAAATCCAAGACGCTGCTGCCATTTGACAGCTTCTCAAAGTTGCGGTGAATAGTCCCCTCGTGGGGAGAGGGTCTGCGTGCAATTCGATATGCAAGGCAGCGGTTTCGTCTATCACAGGCTGCTGACTGCCAATCAATGCTCAACACCTTGTCCGTCTGCCGTCTGGAAGGATCGTGGAGTGCGAAGCGTGGATAACCTGCTAAAACGATTGCATTGTTGCTCGCCCCGGATTCGATGATAGGGGTCTTCAAATTTGGCACTGTATGATGTGCGTGGAGGGGTGGATGATCAAAGTGCGCATTGCCCGATGGAGTAAATGGATGCTGATGCTGTACATGGGTGGATTCGATTCAAGCTGGGGAGTCTTATTTGCTTCGTCTTCTCCACATCGAATACTTGAGTCTCCAATTGCATCAGATAAATGGGTTCAGTCTAAATAGGCAAAATCAGGGAGTTCCTCGGACGGAGTACGTCGCGTCCGCATGAGGGCAGGATGTCTTTGCAGAAGACGCCGAATTCTGAGCGAATGAGACTGTGAGACAACCATACGATGATTTTCATGGACCGTTAAGATGACATAAGATCAAGTGTCCGACACGCATCATGACAGTGATAACGGCGAACTATTCCCAAGTAAGCCATGACACGTAACGGTCCGGGACATCACAGGGATAGATGCAACCGACGCAGTAGTCAAACTGAGAAATCAAGAATCACACCAGACCGACGAGTGCCAGACTGTCGAGTTGCATTTCTCCTCAACATCGGACTGCTGCCGGAGCCGACCTGCGGGCATGAGTGGACATCCTCCTGACACTGAGCCAGAACTTTAACAAGCCGAGACGTCAAACGGCTGACAATTTATCTTGTCTAATTGTCTTGGGTAAGTCGACTTTACTCGCTGATGGGCGGGAGACCCCGTGGAGATGTCTTTGTTTAGTGTGACTACTCCGTATACTCCGTACTCTAACCAAACATTAAAGTTCTCCTATACTCCGTAGTCTAATCTGTAACAATTTAAACAAGTCCGCTGAATGATCATGGTGGTACCGCGAGATTGTAAGTAGGGGGCGACGAAAAGAAACATGGATAAGTCAATATCCTACTTAGGTAGTGTGCAATGAGTATTGACGTAGAAACGAGTCAATTCATAAGTATCAATTTCCGACTTCGAACAAAGAATGATTTGAAATTGATGCCTGATCATGTTCATGTGATATGGTCCATTCCTCTAAATTATTGCTCTTGATTTGGCTCTTCTCTAGCGTGGAATAATAGTGTCAGCAAAGGGGGTACTTTTGTCTCCTAGTGACGCCGAGTTATGCTCAATCGGGTAATTGGTCAGAACTTCCTGTTTGGTCTCGGGCTTGGCAATCTGCTGGCAGTCCATCCTCCTTCCAAAGGAGTTGCTGAGAGAAAGGATCGTCAGGCTACGGGCCTACGGCAATGTGATTGTGGCGGGGTTGCAGCAACGTAGGCCATCTACTGGATGCAGAATCATGCAGCTTCAGTCAATTAAAATCATCAATTTTGGCGCGGTATCGTCGGCTTCATAAAAACAATCCCTGAAACTCAATGCGAGAAAGAAAAGACAAACAGAGGAAAGACAAAACTGTACAGTACATGCAAACCGGCAAACAGCAGACAGAGCCGTCCTGGGCCCACGATTCTCTCATTTAGATGAATGAGAGACAGGGCCCGAGGAACAGGCTACTGAATGCAAAGAAAAGCCATCAAACCAATGCCCATACAGAAAGCCACACCTCGCCCATCCCCTGTACTGGGGGTCAAGGGGGCAGATACAGGAACCGACTAGACCGTCCTTGCGCCGCGCTCTAATTACATTGACAAAAGAAACAGCTGATGAAGGTTGCCCACAGCCGCAAAAGCAACACCTTGCAGACCTTCAACAGGCATGAGAACAGGGAGAACTGCTTTCACAGCCCCCTGTTCCACACCTCCACCCAATTGTCAAGTGCTTGCTTGGCAGCTTGGAGGGACTGAATCGCAGCGAGCCATTTGGTCTCGGCGTCCTCCAGCTTCTGCTGCAGTTCTCTGCTAAGAACCGCATGCACTGACAAATGGGCGGCTCCTTCCAGATTGTTCATCGGGAAGGAGGGTAAAGGCCGCGACCCCGGAGCCGTGGCGGGGGACCTGGCAGCAGCGGGCGCCACGACGGGTGCTGGAGTCGTGTTGCGAACTGCCGCCTGCTCAACGGCTTCAACATCACGCTCCGCCTTTGGCTTTCGCCCCCGTCGGGTTCGCTTCCGTGGAGGGTTAGACGCCTCCACGGAGCCGGTCCCTTCGACGCTCACAGCGGCTGCGGGTTTCGATTCGGTCGCGCCCGAAGACGCTTCCTCCTCGACTTCGACAAACTTGCGTTTGCGAAGTCCGCCCGGGGCCTGCCTCTTTGCGACAGAGACACCAGCTTCGGATCCGGCGGGACGAGGGGCGGACTCCGTCAACACCTCCTCGTTTTTGCCCTTCAACCGGATCCGAAGGGGTCTCTTCGCTGGTGGGGGAGCCTGGTCCTCCGCGCCCACCGAGGCAGAAGGGTCACTGCCATTGCCAGCGTCATCCCTGACACCGACGTGTGCCTCTGCTTCCCTCTTCCGTTTCCGGGAGGGGACGTTGCCTTGAAACAGTTAGCTCGTCGCGATCAAGAGAGAATGGAAGAAGGAGACTTACTGTCATCGTCTTCGATGACCTGACGGTGCGTGCAACGTATTTTTGACTTCTTGCAGTTGGCACACGCCGGCGTCATTTTTTTACCATCGGCGCCTTTGGCCGCCGACGGCTGGATGCGCCGCTAGAGGATCATCAGCATGGACATACCCCAGAAGCAGAGAGCGAGCCAGATACTAACCTTGCGGCTGCGGGAGGGCTGTTCGCCCTCCTCCACACTAGGGGCCCTCTCGCTCCCAGCGGCTTCCTCAGCCTCGGACTGGGGATTGGCGAGGGGCTCGCCGGCATGGGACGCCTTCTCACTGTGGATGTTTGCCGTGTCAGCCTCAAGCTTGACCCTGGCACAGTCGAGGCACATGCTGGTCACCATGCCGACGAAACCCTTCGCGCGAGGGGCCCCGCACTTGACACAGAGCGCGTCTGCTTGCTCAGACATTGTGGTGGTCTTTGGAGCTGGCCCGTGTTAGCTGAAATGTCGCCAACGGATCCAAGTGATCGATTGGTATCTCACCAATGTGATGTGGGAGCTGCGCGGACGACTTGTGTTAGCAAGCTGAAACGACGCCAGTTCATCAAGAAATTGACCAGTTCCTTACCAGAGATGTAACAAGCGAAGCTTGTAAGTATGGAAATGATTGATGATTTTTGAAAGCCTTGATAACAGCTAAAGAGCAGGATATGGAGGAATGGTGGTAATGATGGTGATGATGGATGAGAGAAGAAGAGAAGGAGAGAGAGAGTGTGTGAGATGGGAGGGGGCTTGAATACTCTCAAGCGACACTAACAGACAACATAAACAAGAGAGTGAATGTTTAACTGAGATGGATACACCGAGTTGGCGCTGCTGGAGCGGAATATTCCATCTAAATTCGACACCCGGCTCCACACTGAGGGGGAAGCAGGCGAGACTGGGAGACTCAATTCACTGCTCTCTGGGATATCGCCTCATCTAATCCCAATTGGGACGATATATGCTCTTATCAACAGGATGTTCTGGGCATATCCGGGCCTGACCCGGAACTGGATCATCCGGGTGGTTGAGCACGGTGGGCTGGGAGAACAGAACCTGCTGAAGCTCTTTGATATTCACTCATCTGCTCTATATCAACTAACAAGGAAGTACCAGCAAGACAAGACCCCCGTCTTTTTGGTCAGCCATGGCACAAAGAAGAGAGCAGAGAAGAAAACATTCTATATTATCACACAGTATGTCATAGAATAGTTGGAGCAAAGTATTGGACTGCTTCACGTC